GAAAAGTTTTGAAATGAATTTTCCTTCAACCCACTGACCATGTAGGTACCCAAGGTACCATGGTGCTTTTAAAACTGTGGTGTAAGGAATCCTTCCAGGAGGCCTTGCTGGTGAGAGAGAACTTCTGTTCCCACCTCTCTTGGTGGAGAAAGTGAGTGCCTGTGTGTGTGTGTGTGTGTGTGTGTGTGTGTGTGTGTGTGTGTGTGTGTGTGTGTGTCTTAGCATTGGGATTTAAAGCTCTCTGACTCAACAACCTGATGAAGGAGGCTCGTTTTGCTCTCAGAGTCTACTCTGCAAATTGCTCATCTCTCATTCTGTCAATCTTCCTTTGTAAGCAAACATAAAATTTGGAACAGAGTGTTCAAGCACAGAGGAATGCACTGGTTTCCTTCTTAGCCTTACCTTGAGGGTGTGATTCTGAGCATGTGCGTGGAAGTGACTGTGTGAGGAGAAAAGCAAACAAGCAAACAAACATCCAGTCACTTGCTGACTTGTGGGATAGGAGGGGACAAGTACGTCCTAAACTGCACCGTGTGCCCAAACCTTCACTGACACTTGCTGACTTGTGGGATAGGAGGGGACAAGTACGTCCTAAACTGCACTGTGTGCCCAAACCTTCACTGAAGCGAGCGAGGGTGAGTGTGTGAGCGGGGAGGAGGGGGTGAGCGAAGACGAGTTTGTGTGTAGGATGAAGGAGCACTGAGGGGGAGGGGTGACATGTAAGTAGGAGGAACCGTGGTACACACAGGACATTGACAGTGACGGTGGTGGAGGGGGACATTTGGCTTCCTAGACAAGCCACAACATGGACCATGTTGTGTATGACACGAGACTGAAGCACTATTCTGGGTGAATCACAGACAGAGCTAATTAGAAGACCAGCTGTGGCTAGGCAGTGCCACTGTGCATTCTATGCTGTGAAGAGACACCATGACCAAAGCAACTCTTGTAAAGAAAAGCATTTAATTGGGCTGGTTCACTTACAGTTTCAGAGGTCCAGTTCATTATCATCATGGTGGCAGGCAGGCAGACATGGTCCTGGAGCAGAGCTGAGAGTTTTACATCTGGATCCACAGGCAGCAGGAAGAGAGTGACACTGGGCTTGGCTTGAGTTTCTGAAACCTCAAAGCCTGCCCCACTAATGACACACTTCCTCCAACAAGGCCACACTAGCTCATAGTGCCACTCCCTATGGGCTTTTGGGAGGTATTTTTCTTCAAACCACTAGAGTTCTTTGGTTCTCTGTGGCTCTCTTTCATAGCCTTTCTGTGTGTTTTGTGAATAATCACATATGCTGTCTAACAGAAGGGATTCAGGTGTGATAAACCCCCTTCTCTTTGAGGACCACCCAAGAGTTGGCACATAGTCATTTCTGTGTCGTCCGTGTAGTCAAAGTACTCATGGGGCTTGCCTGCACTCGGCAAGTAGAGCCATAGATGGCATCTGTTGAGGTATGATGATGGCAGGATCCAGGTGCAGAGGGGCAAGGTGTAAGATCCCGTCTAGCCATCTTTAGAAGACAACAGTGGCTACTAGCATCATGTCAGAGCCAGCCACCCATGGGACGGGGGTTTGCTGTGTGTATACTTTCCAACCCCACAGTTCCTGACTCTATGTGGGTGGCTTGCAGTGGGCACATGGGGACAGAACAAATGGCAACAGCTTTTGTCCCACCCTAATTGAAGAGAACTATTGCTAAGTATTCCAGCACTCTACTGCCTCTGTGGGAGAAGTTTTAGTTAGAGGCCAGGCTGGAAGAAAGAAATCAGTGTTTGCTAACCACAGAGGGCATAGGTGTTCCTGGGAACCTTGGGGCAACTCTATTTTAAAAAGTGTGTTTGGACCCCTTATTTTATAGGGAAAGAACCAGAGTCTCCATGAGCCTGGGTGACCCTGCAGGGTCTGAGTTAGGATCACCTCAGGTTTGTCATCCTGCCTCATAAAGGCTTAAACTCTTGGAGGTGAGAGGTTTGGATCTGAAGAGGAAGCACAGATTAGCAAGTGGGTGGTGCTGGGGAGAGTACAGAGCCCAAAGCCCAGGCCAACAAAGGCAGCCACCTGGGACAGGAAGAAGGGTTGGTACAGTTGGTACAGCACCCATCCGCCTAGGTGCTGCTTTGTAGGTGCAGTAAGACAGACACCAACAGGAGCTGCCGGACACAGCCAGTGGTTCTTGTGGGCAGGAGAAGGTGTGGGTATGTGTGGAAGCACAGTATAAGGTGGAGGTAGGAAGCCCCAAGGAAAGGCAGCGAGAGGAGGTGGGAACAGCACCACACTCACCAGGGAAAGGCCCTGCTCTGTTTGCTCCTCTGTTCTCCCCTCTTCTCCTTAGGAAGCTCACACTCTGGCTCCAGCATGGGCCAGCTGAGGAACAGCCGAGGGTCAGAGCCCTCCAGGCATCCCATGTCCTGTGCTATGTGGGGCACAGCCTTTTTCCTTTATTGTTCAGGACTCTGCCTTGTGCCAAACTTGGGCAGTGCTTAACATTTATCCAACGTCTTTAACCCCAAACCCTCAAAGGATTGTTGTTTGGCTTCTGACTGGTGGGAAAATTAAATTCAGAGAGAAGAGTTAACTTCAGGATGCAGGTCTAGCTGAGAGGGAATTAAGATTCTAACCCGGGGTGGGGTGGAGGGCTGTAGAGACGACTCGGTGTTTAAGTACTAGCTGCTCTTCACAGACTCAGGGTTCAGTCCCAGCACCCACTTGGCTGCTCACAGTGTCTAAATCTCCAGCTCCAGGGCATTCCATACCCTTTCTGGCCTCTATGAACACCAGGCATGCTTGTGGTGCATATAAGTACACGTAAGCAAAACACAATCTTAATGTTTATTTCTAATAAAATGGTCTAACCTGGGTGCCCTGAGTTGGGGTGTATGGAGTGTGGATGCCCTCTGTCTGGAGGGAGAGGGGCAGAGCCATTCCCAACCCAGAGAGCACAGAAAAGGCCAGAGGAGCAGATGGGTTGGCCCATCTCTCTCTATATATAGGGTCCTTTGCAGCTTCTTGTTTTTCCTGCCTTTTCTTCCTCCCTGTACTTGAAAGATTCCTTCTTTTGTTTTGATCCCAATAACACAACGGGCATTGCATTTTGAATGGGCAGGAGTGGAGGAGTGTGGTCACGGGCATTGCAGAGCCTAGAGTGAGGGGCTGAATGCATCCCTCAGAGACAGACACCTCACTGACAAGCTTCTTATCTCTGTTGACTTCTGCTGTCCTCTGGAGTCCCAGGCTGGGTTACCAGCCCTCCAGTGATTGAGTGAGACTTGCTGAAGGAACACGGGATGAACCCCTGAAGAAGTGGCTCCCTGTGTTTTCAATGGTTGTAAAAGTGCCCAGTTTTCTGGCCTGAATTTGTAGAAACCATCATGCAGCAGGGTGGAAGGCCACAACCAAGGTGTCTCTAGTTCCGAGGTCAGTGGAGCCTGAGCTGTGCAAGCAGACAGCTTGTGACTTGGAGGCTGAGGAGGTGGGGTGAGAAGCTGCCCTTTAAGATAAAGCTCATGAACACTAGCTTGTTTATACCAAATGGGTGTGGAGTCACGAGGTATGATGTTTATGGGGCCCATCTTGCTGAACAATACAGAATATAGCAGTTATGTGCACAATGACATTTAATTATAATGTGGTAAATTGATAAAGATTACTTTAGAAGAACTCTTATTAAATGTTCCCTGTTGTTTTCTGTTAATCACCACTATGGAGTTTTGGAGGAATTTGTTCTTCTCTTCATTGCATAGAAAAGTTTTGAGTTGTTACTGTGAGCCTGCCATGCTAGGGGTACAAGAGTCACCGACAGTTCGGGGCTCTGCCTGCTGCCCTCTGTAGATTTATTGTCTGGAGGTCAGGACAGACTCAATAAATCCATCACCAGCCACATACTGTGCAGTCTTGTATACGTTCATTCTTAGCAACAAAAGTATTTCTTAAAGTCATTAGGCAATGTGTTTTTTTTTTCTAAATTACATTTAGAAATGTGCACATATTCGCTTATAAACAAACACTAGAACAAAGAATCCTATGATACCTTGATACAATCGGTTTGAAACCAGTTGAAAAGCAGGTTAGGAATCTTGCAGTAGCTCTGTGACATGTAGGATGGATTATTTTAGAGTCCTCTTCAAAGTTGGGGTATAGCTCCCCATCCCTGAACACGGAGTTAAAAATTCTAAGTTTGAAATGTAATCGAAATGTTGTAAAGAAACATTAGAGGCTGGGGTATGTATGCCTGAGTGGGTAAATGCTTGCTGAGCACGTATGAGGAATTGGTGCCCATGTAAAAGCTGTGTGTGGCCACCGGCTTCTGTAACCCCAGGCAGTGGGGTAGAGACAGATGGATCCCAGGGGCTCATTGGCCAGGCACTCTTGCCAAAGCAGGGAGCTCAGAGAGAGGCTGTGTCTTAAAAAAATAAGGCGACTAGAGACTAAGATGGATCCCAGGGGCTCATTGGCCAGGCACTCTTGCCAAAGCAGGGAGTTCTGAGCTCAGAGAGAGGCTGTGTCTTAAAAAAATAAGGCGACTAGAGACGGAGGAAGCAAGCTCTTGTGGCGTCCACGTAGACCTGCACCCATGTGGTGAGCATACACACAGTCTCAAGATAAGTCCATTCCTTTTTAGTTCCCCACAGCCTCTCTTTGCTCTGCCCCCTCATTCAAGAATGTGACATATTGGTAAATTACCCATAGGGGTTTCAGCACATCTTCCTGTAATCGAGTTGTAAGTGTTAACCTGGCTCCCTCCTCTCAGTGTTGCAGGAGGTGAGCTGTTTGACTTCTTAGCCGAGAAGGAATCCCTGACTGAAGAGGAAGCAACGGAGTTTCTCAAGCAGATTCTCAGCGGTGTTTGCTACCTGCACTCGCTTCAGATCGCCCACTTTGACCTGAAGGTAACTCCGTGAGTGGAAGCTGGGCGGAAGCTTCTGCCAGCTGTGGCCTTTGCGGCTTGCTGGCTAAGAGGAACCGAGGCACCCAGTAAAGACATTTCCCCTGTGTGGGTTTAATATATGGAGTTGTTGGTGTAAGTCATTGTAATGTCTTCCTGTGGCTGGGGTGTCTAGCCTCCATCTTGTGGGGTAGAGGCATAGGGTCAATGGCCACAGTCTGGAATCCTTGGAGGGGCCAAAGGGGATTAGTAGCCAGGTGTTCCAGCAATGGCTGCTCTTGGATATTGGGCTATTTTTGGCTGGGTTGGCTGGTTGCTGGCGCAACTTTCATTCTCCTGTGTCTGGACATTTGGCAGAAGGTATCTTGAGTGTTTTTTTCCCTTGATACAAGCCTGGGGCCTGAGCCTTCCCTTCACTATTGAGCAAACCCAACTCTGGCCTTGGCTGGGTATGGGGTCTTTGACTGGCTAGAGGCAAGGCTGTGTGGGGGATTGAAAATGCGTGAGCTCCATTTCTAGCTGTTATGGAGGCATGCTCTTTTTGGGAAAGGAAGACAACACAAGGACAGCAGAAAGTGACTGTTAGATTGACTGGAGGTGACCACAGGCTGGTGTAGGCCCCTGAGCTAGAACAAGACTGCAGAGGACCGAAGTGTTCTGTGGATATCACTACCTATAGCAGGGCCATCAAACCCATGTCTATGTCCCCCAGTGCCCACCAGCACACACTGAAGGTGGCTTTCTGCCATTGTCCCTCTGCTTGATGCCTTGTTTCTGACCTGGGGAGCCGGCAGTGTCCATATATAAGTGCCCCTGGGCAGCTGTCAGGACCAGAGGGTAGGAGACCACAGGTGCAGTCTCAGCTTCCATGGGAATGAATTTGAGTTCTGTCCTTTCTTCTCAAGTTGTCAAGAAGAAGGGTGGTGCTTGAGTTGTCCTACCTTAACAGAGCAGACATCATAGACCTGCCTCCTGGCTTCAAATTCTTGTCTCAGATCTACCCCCTGGAGACCCTGAGCCCAAAGCCTGTTATTCCCAGGGCTCTCTTTTTATCTACATCTTTGGATTTTTGTCACCCTTTTACCTTTCTTTCCTTCTTTCTCTCTTTCTTTAAGCCGGAAAACATAATGCTTCTGGATAGGAATGTGCCCAAACCTCGGATCAAGATCATCGACTTTGGCTTGGCCCATAAAATCGACTTTGGAAATGAATTCAAAAACATATTTGGGACGCCGGAGTTTGTGGGTAAATTTTCTTTGCTCTTGGGCTCACTATGTCTCATCCACACTCCTGGCCTTAGGATTATTGCCTGTCCATGCTTCTGCTTGTTACATGAAGACAGACTCGGCTGGTCTGCAGCTTCCCCAAGCTAATGAGTCTTTATTTTCTCTTAGCTCCTGAGATCGTCAACTATGAGCCCCTTGGCCTTGAGGCAGATATGTGGTAAGAAGAATGTCTTTGGTGTTGGTGTCTTTCTGGTCTATTTGGCTGCCCTCCTAACCTGGGTTTGTTTTTATTTTTGTGTACAGAAGCATCGGGGTAATAACCTATATTCTGTAAGTATCAAGTCTACAACTCGTGTACTCTTTCCTTGGCTCGGAGACCACAAGTGTCATCTGCCAACCAGCTAGAGCATGTTGGCCCCTTCAGCTTGTGCATATTCATCCCGAACCCTAAAGACGTGTTTATTTTATGCTAATTAGGATTATTCTTTCTCAATCAAAATGAATTGCCCAAGATTGTAGCATAACCATAGTGAGAAATTTTAGCTGTACATTTTAACATGAATAATAAAAACCTAGAGACAGATATTGGGGTTTTTTTAGCTGTACATTTTAACATGAATAATAAAAACCTAGAGACAGATATTAGGGTTCAAGCTGAAAGATCAGAGAAGAAAAGCAGCCAAGCCCTAGAGATTTCTCACTTCTACCAATGCTCAGACCCAAGGGGCAATTGTGTCCTCTGATTGCATCTCCAAACTGCACTGCTCTCCAACAAGCCTCGGAATTCTAGACCACTGCCTCTGCTCAACGTGGCTGGAGACTCATTGCTACCTGAGACCCTTTGCTTCTTCCTTATCTGTCTCTCTAGTGCCGGGATTAAAGGCGTGAGCTCTGTTAATCTTTTAGACTGATTTAATCTCGTGCAGTTCTGGGTGCGCTTGAACTCCATTTATCTGTCTCTCTAGTGCCGGGATTAAAGGCGTGAGCTCTGTTAATCTCGTGCAGTGCTGGGTGCGCTTGAACTCAGAAAGATATATTTGCCTGTCTCCTGAGTTCTGGGATTAAAGGTGTGTGCCACCATTGCCTGGCCTCTATGGCTAACTAGTATGGCTGCTGGGATTAAAGGTGTGTATCCCCACTGCCTGTCTCTATGACTGTGGCTAGCTTTGCATTTTGATCCCCAGTGGCTTTATTAGGTCATAAACAATGTATCACCGTAGTCCACTGCTGAGAAAATAGGAAGAAGATTTTTATTGTAAACTACACACTGGTTCAGATGGCCTTGTGTGATGGTGTGTTTTGATGTGACGTGAGTACTAGTTACTGTGTGTGTGCGTGGTGTGTTTGTACTTTTTAGTGTGGATGTGTGTGTGTGTGTGTGTGTGTAAATGGGTACAAATGATTGCTCTGCACTCCACTTTTATTTCTTATTATTTATTTATTTATTTGTTTATTTATTTATTTAGCTCGTTGATTTGGTTACATTGGCTAGCTGGTGAGCTTCAGGGATCTATCCCTCTCTTTTATCCACTGTTAGGGTTACAGTTACATGCCACTATGCCTGGCTTTTTATGTGGATTCTGGAGGTCCAGATTCAGTGTTCATGCTTGTGTCACAGGCCCTTGAGCAGCTGAACCATCTCTCCATCCCCAAATGAGCCTTTAGCAGGAGTCCCTTGCCTGAATTTAATACTTAAACATTTGTAACTGTTGAGTGTTGCATGAAGTGTGATTGCTTCTGAAGTGACTAATTCTGCACCAGGTTCTAGTCCTGTCCAGTGCTTCCCACATGAGACTCCGAAGAAGCCAGGAGTCCACATGAGTGTTGGTTAATGTTCTGTTAACGCCCCGCTTTGTTTTTAACAGCCTAAGTGGGGCCTCCCCATTCCTTGGAGACACTAAGCAAGAAACATTAGCGAACGTATCTGCTGTCAACTATGAATTTGAGGAGGAATTCTTTCGTAATACCAGTGCCCTTGCCAAAGATTTCATCAGGAGACTGCTGGTCAAGGATCCAAAGTGAGTGTCCCCTCTCTCTGTGAGGCAGAGCCTCATTGGCTGAGACTAGAGACCAGCAGCTGTTCTGTGTCTGGCCACCTTTTGTCAGACCCTCACTGTTCCACCTGCCAAAGGAAGAATGCCCCAGAAGGAAGTGCTTCAGAAAATGAATTCAGGGTCTTCTTGCTTGATAACTCAGTCTCTGCACAGGAGAAGAGTCTGGAGCTGACCTGTGGACTTGCCCTCAGGTTTTGTTGTTGTTGTTGTTGTTTTAAATGTGAGCCCCAAACTGCTTTGTCCAGAGTGTCTGCATTGAGCCTCCATGGAAATAATCTTAGTGCTGTCTCAATGTCATGGGATTTTTTTTTCTTCCTCCTTCTTTCCCCTAAAGGAAGAGGATGACAATCCAGGACAGTTTGCAGCACCCCTGGATCAAGGTGAGTTGCTTCTTACATTGGGGTTCTAACCATTTCTCAGTGGTTGCTGTGAGCACCTATGGGTCACACTGGAGTGTTAGCTGGCCACTGGTGCATAGTTTTAAGACAGAGTGATTGTTTTCTATCATTTAGATGTTTCAAATCTCTGAATCTTTTGAACAATCTGAAGGTCTGTAGACACGACACCCTCCTCCCATATAGCTGTAGGGGGAACTGCCTTTGTTTTTGGAGCCTTGACCTTAACACATGACGCTTTTACATTGCTGCCCTATTGTCACTTGAGCAAGCAAAACTGAATTTGCTTCAGCCTGAAACAAGGAACCGAAGTTGACAAATGTGTAGCTGTCTGTCATGGTGGCAGTATTCCCGGGAAAAGTCCTTTGAAGAAGGAAAGGCTGGTTTGGGTCAGCTGTAGAGTTTTCAGTCTGTGGTCAGTGGGCACTGTCATTGTGGCCTCTAGCAGGACAGTGCATTATGGCAAAGAGAATGTGGTGAAACAGAGCAGCTGATTGCAAGGTAGCCAGGCAGGATGGGGGATGAAGGGGCAACGGTTCCGGTATGTTCCTACAAGGACTTACTTTCTTTCCACTCGACTCCACCACTGCAGTTTCTCTCCTTCCCAGTAGTTGCACAAGCTGGCCACTAAGCCTTTAGAAATAGAGGCATTGGGAACATTTAAGATCTGATCAATAGTAACGGTATCTAATAATTGAAAACAAATGCATGGGCCTCATCAGTGGGCATTGCAGAAGGCCTCCGTTCACCCTCTCCCACTTGGGTGGAGCCTGTGCCTGAGTGCATCCACTGAACAAGATGCAGTGAACTTGTCTGAGTGCTGTCAGGAGGGGCCAAATGTGCAGACCTCTAGGGTCCCTCCAAACTGAAATCACATAGTAAGAAAGACTTAAGTTCAAGCCTGCCACACAATGGCCTCACCATGAATCTTGGCAACCCAAAACTGTTGTTGTGGAAGATGACTATGACTGAGTTGGTTACAAACTCATCTTGCTATTCTGAAACTGTCATTGTGGAAGACGACTGTGACTATGTTGGCTATAAGCCCATCTTGCTATTCCGAAACTGTCATTGTGGAAGATGACTGTGACTGAGTTGGTTACAAGCTCATCTTGCTATTCCTGATGCACTTTCTGTGTATTATACTAAATACTCAGTCATTTCGACTTAGCTGGCTGAGTCTAGCTCTTCCAAGATTCTTTTGTTTTTTGAGAGGGTGTTACGATAAATCTTTGCGCCAAAAGCCACCGAGCCCCACTGCCACTTGTGCGCTTTATGCCAGTCGCCTGCCGGAGTTAGGACCCAAATGAATACATAGAAACTTGTATTAGGTTCAAAGCTGCTTGGCCAATGACTAGGATTCCTCATCTGCTAGCTCAGTCTTAATTATCATAAACCTATATATTTTATAAGACTTATCTTATCGTACACCTTGTTGGCGTCCCTCCTTGCTGGTGGCTCACATCCTGCCGCTGGAGGAGGCGAATGGGAAAAAGGGCCCTTCCTGTTTCTCCTTCCCTTAAATATGAGTCTCCTTGCTATGTCACTTCCTGCCTGGAGCACCACTTATCTACATTTCCCAGAATCCTCTTTGACTCCTAGTCCTGTCTAACTTGCTGTCTCATTGGCCAAACAGTATTTTATTTAACAATCAATAAGATAAACATACACAGTACATTCCCCATCAAGAGGGTCTCAAGTGTGCCAGGCTAGCTTTACTCTTGATTGTAAATCAAGAATGACCGTGAACTTCTGACCCTCTACCTCCACCTCTGAGTGCTGAGACTGTAGGCATGCATCACCCTGCCTGTTTTACATGGTGCTGGGGATGGATCAAGCCCAGAGCTTCTTGAATGCTAGGAAAACTCTCCACCTGCTGAACTACACCCCATCCTGGCTCCTGGTTCCTGAATGTTATTCTCCACTACTTAGGCTATTTTAGGAGAGTGAATGTGTAAGCCTTGTAGAGTAATGAGGGGTCTTAAGACAGTGTCACCATTTCTGTAATTAGCCTTCATAATTTTTTTTCTTGAATTTTCATTTTAGCCTAAAGATACCCAGCAAGCACTTAGTCGAAAAGCCTCAGCAGTAAACATGGAAAAATTCAAGAAGTTTGCAGCTCGGAAAAAATGGAAAGTAAGACTCTTTGACATGGAGGCATTGGATTCTACTTTTTTTCTTTTCTGTGTGGTCTGGTCAGGGCTCATGTCTTCTCATATTGGAAATCAGTAAATGCATTCATTTAACAAAGTCCACTCTGTAATCTTTAGTGCTGTTATTACTAGCTTTCAAAGACAAGCATAAACAGTATTTCAGGCTATTTAACTTATTCTTCGAAATGAGATTTTGCATGGTCTTTTCTCATATCATCCCCAAGGCAAATTTTTAAATCAATACAATAAAGTTACAGGGAACACTTTTCCAACTGCAACAAACCACATTCTAAATAAACTGGTTTTTCCTGGTGAGCAGCAAGGCCTGGAGCTTGCATCAGGAACCCACCTTCCTCCTTGTGGGTTTGCAGGGGGACCCTGAATCTGGGAGAAGCCCTGGCAATATGGCTTGTCCTTCACACTGTGGTGACTTCCCTGTGGCCTTGGTTGGATGCTGGTTTGGGCATCTTTGAAACAATCAAAATTCAAGCATCAGAAGGCGATGGCATGGCTTCCATGCCCAAGATTAGGTCAAACCTGGAGGCAACAAGCCCCGGCCCCCTCTCTCTGCCTGGTCCAGCTGTGTTCCTCAGTTTTATACCTATTAAGCTATGGCTAGACTGTCAACAAGGCTTAGAGCTTATGCCTCAGTCTCTCCCCCTTACCTCTTCTTTCCCTCCCTGTTGTCTCTTCATTTCCTTGTGGCTTCAGCCTTTGAGAATATGGAGGAGATTATACTGCAGACTAATGTATCTGTCTCCCACTTAAGCCTGTTGAGAGTCACATATATTCCTTTAGCTGGCTTGGGCCCAGAGAGCTCAGAATAAGGCCCTTTTATCCCATGCCTGACCCAGCAAGTGTTTTGTTGGGGTTTAGAAACCAAGACACAGAGAAAGACATGGGTACGAGGCAGCCACTTCTGCAGGTCATAGTGAATGCACAGGAGTCTCTCTCTTTTACTGTTTTGGCTCATGACCTTTAGAATACTTCCCTAAGCAAACAGTCCAGCCTGCCATGGTGTGCCCACCCCAGAGGCCTGTTGGCAGTGAACATGTTCTCAGTGTTTTTTTCCTAAGTTCTCTTTCTTTCACCCCTTGACTTTTTATGCTTATTTTATTTTCAGCAATCTGTTCGCTTGATATCACTGTGCCAAAGATTATCCAGGTCGTTTTTGTCCAGGAGTAACATGAGCGTTGCCAGAAGCGATGACACCCTGGTAAGCAATCCTGTTTGCCTTGGCCAGCTTCTTTCGTCACTGTGTTTAGATTGTTTACATTGTTCTGTGTATCCATCAGTGCCCAAAACCCCACATCAAGGAAACATCAGACTCACACTTAGTCCTGAGGTCGGCTGACTCTTGTGCCCTGTCCTGCTTTTCTTCTTTGTTTTGATTCAATTTACTTGGCATTGTCTTAGGTGCCATCCCTACTATTTCCAACAATACTACTGAAAACTCCTGTGTACACAGACATACAGTACACGTGTGCACGTGCGAGCACACACACACACACACACACACCCATACACCCATACTGATACACAAACAATCACGCACATGTGAGAGCACACACTCACACAAAAGAGAGGACAACTACTGGAAGGAGAAAGAGGTTATGGTAATTCTCATGAATGAAAATAAGAGCTCTGATTACCACCAATAGGAGAATGCAGAGTCATAATGACACAAAAAAGACAGATAGCCCTCACTTCCTTCCTCCACCAACACCAAGGGAAGGGAAGACAGTGACTGCCTCATGGTAGACCAGAAGGCCACATACACTTGGTGTATTGACATTGTCCTGACTGTCCAAAGCCCTTGAGAATGGCACCACAATTTTCTCCATGTCCAAACTGAAATCTTATCACCGATGAGCTCTTCAGATACAGCCTAGATACCTCTCACTTCAATGAGACTTTCTCCAGCCAGGCAAACAATGGGCCCTTGTTCACTGAACATGAAGGGGACTCCAGGAAAAGCAGACACAGTGGTTCTGTGGGAACCACCCTGGCTGTAACCCAATAATTGGTGTTTCCTGGGTAGAACTAGGGACTCCTAGGGCAAAGATCACATGGCAGCAGACACTAGCTCTTCTCTCCTGATGCTACTCTCTGCACTAATGCTTCAGCTCTAGTCTACAACCATAGAGCAAAATGAGAAGAAGATATGTATGCGTGCGCATGCGCGCGCGCACACACACACACACACACACACACACACACGAATGAAGGAAAGCCAGAGAGAAGGAAGTTATGAAGGTGGGAGGAAGAACGACCACTTTGGAAGGATGTGAAGGTGTTGGTGGAGCTAAGGGAAAAATGGCTGTGTGGGTCTGACTGTAGGGATGCTGTGGTGGGGATGACTGAAGCTCCTGAATCAGCCCTTTTAACATAACAGTGAAAGCTAGGGTAGGAGCCCTAGGAGAGGAGATCTCTCCCTGCTCTGTCTTCTGATGACTGCGGGGTGCTGTGGGCTATCTTCTGATGACTGAGGGGCTTATAGGCTGTATGCATGCATACGGGCACACATACAACACACATGCATGCACACATGTACACATGCACATATGCATGCATAGGCACACACTCATGCACACATATTCATATACCACACACACACACTTTTATCGAGCATTCAGAGGATTTTACATAGAGAAAGAAGACATTCAAATGACAAAAAAGGAGAGAAAGAAAAGATAATTATGTAATTGGAAAATTTAGCAAATGAGACTGTCTTCTTTAAAAAAAACCTTGCATTTCCTTGGTTCTGTGATTTTTCTTCTTCCTCTTCATATATCAGGAGAGGTCATGTCACAGAGGACCCTCTACACAGTGCTTTCTGGTAACTCTGTTTTGACGGAATCCTCAGATAAACAGAGCATCATTACTCGGCATTCTTGTTCAAAATCTGTACCTTAAAAACTGTTTGCTCTTGGTTACAATGGGGGTGCCATCAGGCTCAGTTGAGTAGCAGGTGGAAATCATTGGCTGCATGAAAGGGTAAAGGTTCACCTCCCAGCTCCCTTGGTGAGTGTGGATTGGGGATTAAGTGGCATTCTTTCCTTAGAATGCCCCTATGGCAAGCAAGCCAGGACTCATTCACTGTGTTGATAAGGGTCCTGGCCAGGGGGCAACTCTTTCCATCCTCATGTCTCTCTCAGGATGAGGAGGACTCCTTCGTGATGAAAGCCATCATCCATGCCATCAACGATGACAATGTCCCAGGCCTGCAGCACCTTCTGGGCTCGTTGTCCAGCTATGATGTGAATCAGCCCAACAAGGTCTGACTCTCCTCTGCCAGGGGTGCCAGAGGGTTGCATCACAGACTAAGTGTGGGGAGACCCCAATTACTTTTCCAACCCCACCTTATAAATGGAGCCTCCATTCTGTGGGGGAAATCCTTTCTGTCTACAGTGATTTGAGTTGCAAATAAGGATGTTTTGCATTGAGGGCCTTCCTTCACACCCCAGTTGCACCCACACCCTTGAAATCCTATCTCTTTTACAAATAGTACCATCCTTGAGTGCAAATCTGAAAGAGGAGGTGCTTCTTGTCCTTCTCCCAGTGTCTTTCCTTCCTGTCCTCAGATAGGGAAAGGGTCTGGACGCAGCAGGGAGGGGATATCCATGACAGCGTGGGCTTCCCCTTCCCTACCAAACCTGAAAAACAGACTAGTTTTACCTTCTCTTCCAGCATGGGACACCTCCCTTACTGATTGCTGCTGGCTGTGGGAATATCCAGATGCTGCAGTTACTCATAAAACGAGGCTCAAGGATCGATGTCCAGGATAAGGTCATAATTCTGTGTCATTAAAAATGAATTTGCTTCATGTATTCCCAAATGTCTTCCTAACCATAGGAGCAGCAAGTAGGAGAGGATGTCCACTTTTGTGACATCCTGTAAAAGTGAGCTGCATAGAGGCTTGCTCAGGCTCTCATGCATAACCTGGGGAGAGGTGCAGGCTGCGTGGAGAGCCTTGTGCAGGCTGACGTACCCTGGGGAGAGGTGCATGCATTTAACCCCTGCCGGCTCCACTTCTTTCTTGTGCTTCATGTCTTGCAGATTATTTACTCAGCAGTGTTACAACTTAAACTTGGAAAAGTTTTCATTGTGTAGTTAATCTCATCAGAAATTCATTAGCCTGCATGTTTGTCAGGCATCCGGATAGGGCCACACATCCTGGTGTAAACAGCATTGTAAATGCAGATGTCATCAGCAGCCATAAAGACTCTGACTCGTCCTGAGAATCTATGAGTTCAATCCCTGATCCTATCAAATGTGGACTAAGACAATCCCTGATCCTATCAAATGTGGACTAAGAGTGCTTGTAGAAAAAAAAGGAATCCAGAATGTGTTTCTTCTCACTTGTCTCTAGATGATGAAGCAAACAAATGTTCCCATAGTATTTCAGTTGCTTCAGGAGTTCTGAGTAGGTTAGAGGTGATTTGGGGTGCATTGGAGGATATGTGTATTCTGTGAAAGCTACATCTTTTTTTTTTAATAGACGTGTCTTGAACACCCATGAATTTTTTTTTTTTTTTTTGGTACTATATGGAGGCTTGGATCAGAATCAGTTCCCTGCAGATACCAAGGAGACTGTAGAAATTCTAGCTAGAGGTTGATATGAAGGCTTCAGAAAAGAAAAAAGAAAGTTTTGTTTTTACATTGAAACACTTAGATATATTTATAAGAAAAGTTGCAAAGGTGATAGAGAAAACCTCTTTCAGTACCCCACTGAGCTAATGTGGTACAGGACTGTGGTATAATTATTAAATCCTTGAAGCCCAGTGGTCCAGGAGTTCCATATGTGACACTACACTGGTTTCCTTGCAGGGAGGATCCAATGCCATCTACTGGGCCTCCCGGCACGGCCATGTGGATACTTTGAAGTTTCTCAATGACAACAAATGCCCTTTGGATGTTAAAGACAAGGTGAGACCATGCTTCAGGGGTGCATTGAGTGTTGGGCCTGCCTTGTGCACCAGAACCCAAAGGTAAAGATTGAGTGTGGGCCTGCCCAGTGCACCAGAGCCCAAAGATAAAGACTGAGTGTGGATGGACCTGCCTGTTGTACCAGAGCCTAAAGGTAAAGATTGAAGACCAAATCCTCTAGCAGGGATTAAAGTTGAAGGTTTTGTTGTTTTGGTTATTTGGCTGTGACTTGGCCCAGTATTTCAATCAGAGTTTCTACATCAGATGTTTCTAACCATTGTTGGGTTTGTGGGAAAGCAAAGGATTTAGGGTTGTGTGGTGGAACAAAGCTGTTCACCTCATGGAAACCAGGCAGGAAGGAGGGAGGCAGAGACAAAGAGACACAGACACTCTCAATTGCTGCTGGAGTTTCTCTCCCTCCAGGTCCCACAGCTACTTTGCCCCAAATAAGCACACAGATGCTATATTAATCATGAAACTGTTGGCCAATGGCTAATGCTTCTTATCGGCTAGCTCTGTCTTAATTATTAACCCATTTCTGCAAATCTATGCATTTCCATGTGGTCATGGCTTACCAGATGCTATATTAATCATGAAACTGTTGGCCAATGGCTAATGCTTCTTATGGGCTAGCTCTGTCTTAATTATTAACCCATTTCTGCAAATCTATGTATTTCCATGTGGTCATGGCTTACAGGAGAACGCCCAAACTGTTACTCCTTTCTCTGCTACATGGCTTCCTCCCAAAATCCTCTGCCTCTCTCCTCTGCATTCTCCTCACCTCCTAGCCCCACCTAGCGTCCTGCCTCTATTGGCCAAACAGTGTTTTATTCATCTACCAGTGAGAAACATATATACAGAAGGACGTCCCCATCACTCAATGTCTCCTTTATTGCAACCTAGCTTCCATTAGCCCCACCTCCTAAAGTTCCAGCTCTCATGGCCTTTGAAGGGTGATTAAGATCTGGACAGCAGCACATAAGTTCGTCACTGCAGTTTTCCTGCCAGTTGACAGTAAACTGTGTTTTCTGTAGTTAGCTTAGTTTGACAGTGGCAGGTGCAGGCACAGGCAAAGGACCGGAAGTTGTGTTTGCTGTTCACAGAAATTTACTGTAAGTGAATTGTGGTGTTCTTTAAGATCTCGGTGAGTGTAAGAAATGAGTTTCTGTGTACAGATAAGGCAATGGAAGGAGAAAGTTGTTAGTAAATAAAACTACAAATTTAAATAATTGCAGAATGATAGGCGTGTCTCAAAAGGGGTTTGTGCTTGGGTCCAAGAGCAGCGAGAGGGGGGTAATGTTCGCTTCACCTTCAGCAGCTAAAAGCAGCTGCTCCCAAAGGAGGTAAAACATGGCCACTATGGTAAAGGGGACATAGTCTCAAGAGTTGCTTTCAGTAACAAGGTGAACTGGTGTGAGTGTGCAACAGTGGCTGTCTAGGGGCTGCCAGACCCCAGGTCCTGCCCTTATTCTCTGGGGAGCAAATGGGCTTGAGGGAGGGTGTAAAGTACCACCAAAGGAAGGTGTGGGAACCGGCACTCTCTGTCTCCTGAGTGGTTTTTGAATTCTGGTCTTTAGATGGTGGGTCCATTTCTTTTGCAGTCTGGGGAAACAGCCCTGCACGTGGCAGCCCGGTATGGCCATGCAGACGTGGTTCAACTACTGTGCAGCTTCGGCTCTAATCCTGATTTCCAGGACAAGGTAGGTCATGGGAGCAAATGCTCTCAATTCCCTGGCCCGAGGCTTTGATGCACAGCAGGCAGGTGACCCATGGAGGCCTCTGGACTTAGGTGTCTTATCCACTGCAGAGCACAGGTCCTCAGACGGCACCTTGCAAACCGGCTTCCTTTCAGCTTCCTCATTCACCCATTTAATCCCCTGGACAGCTGGTTATCAGCACCTTTGCTTTACAGATGAGGGAAAGCACACAGGAAGTTCCACAGCCTGCTCAAAAGTCTGTGGTGGGAGCAGGGATTGAAGCCTACTCAATCTGGGTTTAGGATTTCTATTTGTAAGCACTGCTCTCTCAGGGGACCTTGTAGACAGATGTGTGTTTGATAATGCTGATGGAGGAACGTCCCAACCCCCTCAGCTGTTGGAACAGTGCTTCCTTGACTGGTCACAGAAAGGTCCTCATGATAGCTGCCTCACTGTGCTCTTCTGACTCATCCTGGAGTCAGATACCTGGTGGAAATCAAAGCACAGACATTGCTAGAAGAATTCTTGCTTATAGGAGAGCTTTCCTGCCAGCAGTAGTTTCAGAGAGACAAAGAAAAGCAACTTTGCTGATTCTGAGTCCGCCCATGTCAAGGTTTTGCTCTTCAGGAGTCTGAGCCAGCCCTCATGCGGCCCCAGTAGTGCTGCCTGTAATATGCTGAGGAAGCAAAGTTCACCATGTAGCGCTCCTGTTGAGGGAACAGACTGACCAGGAGGAGCCCTGTGTCTGCCGCTGCCTTAATGGCAGTGGCTCCCGCTGGTGTCCTTATTTCAGATTAATTTTTTTGCCGCATTGGCTGCAATCTCTGACTTGGCTGCCGTTTGCATAGTCTTCCCCTGCATCCATGCCCTTTACCAGGAAGAAGAAACCCCCCTGCACTGTGCTGCCTGGCACGGCTACTACTCTGTGGCCAAAGCCCTCTGTGAAGTTAGCTGCAACGTGAATATCAAGAACCGGGAAGGAGAGACCCCACTGCTCACGGCGTCTGCCAGGGGCTATCACGACATCGTGGAGTGTCTGGTTGGACATGGAGCTGACTTAAATGCCTGCGACAAGGTGCTTTTTTGGGAGAAATGCTTGGCACTCACTGTGAAGTGACCTGGTGGGCTGCAGGGACAGAGACATTTACCTACTTGGACTTAGTGTGTGACGATTTCCTTTCTTTGGTTCCAAAGTTTCAAGAATATTCTAGAGTCTTTTTTTTTTTAATGTAACTAAGTTTATGAGTTGAGCAAGCCAGTTTGGCCACTGTTTTAATCTTTTTAATTTTGGAGCAGGGACAATGGCACCATATCGTCAGTTTTTAGACCTGCATAGAAATGGGTGTTTATTTTGCCACCTGCTCTTTTGTAAAAAGGCAACCAACCACTCCTATTTGTTTTACAATTTCACTTCCAGACCAGCTGTTCCCTTCTTACCTAAGCAAATTCCTCACCATCTATTTGAACTTGTACTTAAAGGGACATAGTAGTAGTGCTGTGTACAGTTGCTGGGGGGGGGGTTCTTGTAGTTAATGTAGAAACCGCCCTTTGTGGAGTGGTGCCTCGGAACTGTGTGGTTCTCAGGTGGAGGCAGCAGTGTCCCCAGGAGACTTTCTAGTAATATGTGGAGACGTATTTTGATTGCTGAGGTTGGGCTGGGTATTTTCTACTGGCGCCAAGTAGACAGAGCTAGTGCTTCCTCTAGACATTCAGAAGTCCCAAAGCCAAGAGTGCTAAGTGGAGAAACTCAAAAAGGGGTGGGACCAAAGCATTGCTTGCCCACAGTACTCAGTCCCTCTATTCCCAGGGGTCCTGTACCCAGTGCTATTAATTCCCAGGCCTGGTTCTTGTATTTGCTTTCTGAGCATTCAGTAGCCCTGGGGGCTCTCTCTCTCTCTCTCTCTGTCTCTCTCTCTGTCTCTCTCTCTCTGTCTCTCTCTCTCTCTCTCTCCCTCTCCCTACCTCTCTCTTTCTGTTGCAAACTAAAGTAGTAGTCTCTGCTTAGGAATTTAGCAGTGTTTTCCAGCCCTGTTCCCATGGACAATCAATTGGCATACCAATAGCTTATCAATTCTGAGATAGAGGTGTAGTCTTTCTATCTCATCTACTGCCTGAGCCTAAGTGAGTCAGCAGATGGTCAGCTCAGGCTTCAGTTATGCAGAGTGAATGGATAAAGCCCACCCTTCTTCCTTCCAGAGTCCAGGCAATGACATTGAAGTTGTTGGGTGTTTGAAGTAGCCATCCTGTTCTCAGCTAAGCCTCACACAGGGGAGAGATGGGGCTGAGGGTCTAAGATAGAACACTCATGGGCTTGGACTTGGTTCCAGGATGGACACATTGCCCTTCATCTTGCTGTGAGGCGTTGTCAGATGGAGGTCATCAAGACCCTCCTTGGCCATGGGTGTTTTGTGGATTTCCAAGACAGGCATGGCAACACACCCCTGCACGTCGCCTGCAAAGATGGAAGTGCACCTATCGTGGTGGCCCTCTGTGAAGCCAACTGCAATCTGGACATCTCAAACAAGGTACTCGTAAGGGGCGGGATTCCCAGATTCCCACCGGCTGCTGTGTTCTCGCCATGTTTTTATTATTATCTTGTCATGTTGAGAAAGACTGTCACTCTAGGGGACAGTGCCATTTTGAGATGTGTGACTTTTGAGATGGGGACAGTAACATACACTTCCTGCCTGTCCTATCTTCCCACTGTTGTGCTTGTGAAATGAATGAACGTGTGTGTGTATGAGTGTTTGTACGTGTGTTGTACACCCTTGCATGTACACACACACACACACACACACACACACACACACACACACACACACACACACAC